CCGACGCCGACGCTGTCTGCCATTGCGCAACCACCGGCGACCCCACGAAAAGACACATGCTGCTCCTGGCCACTGCATCTGAAGTATTGCACAAGTCTGACGAGAAATATTCGACTGCTCAACGGATTTTGAGAACATACGATTTTCTCCAACGGTAATCTACAACGTCTCAGAGCCTGCGAATTTTAAGCCGTAAGTATTTAACTCTAAACCTCTAGATCTGTTGCGCATACGTTTGTTGTTGCTATTGAATTTGTGACTTGTGCATAACGACATCCTCATATATCCCAACATTGCTCGAGGGCTCGACTATAGCGCCCACTTACTATTCCTTAGAAAATACTAAGGTTTTCAGAAATAATTTGAACTTTTTAAAACCTTTCAAAATTAAAACTTTTCTTGGGCACTACTAAAAACCCTTTTTTTTCAAAACTTTCTAAAATACTTTTCTTTCTTTTCCTTAAAACATAACCTAAGCCAATTGTTAAAAAAAAAAAAAAAGAAAACTTAACCTAAGCCTCACATTTAGGTCCTTAGATAGATCACTTCCCAACATCTTACTTACGTCTCAACAATTAAGACATAACAGAATGTTCAAATACTTCAACTCAAGTTAAAAATAACTTAATCTCAAAACATCAAACTCAGTCTCGATCTCAACACATGAATTATGAAACAAGAGTTTGTAAAAGTTTGCGGAAACATAAGCAAATAACATTATTATGACCCATTCGCCCTCATGTGTCCACTGCCATCTATTCGACCTGAAAATGATAATTGTGGAGGGGAAGAGGTGAGCTAAAAACCTAGCCCACCTAAACGCTATACTATGCGGTTATTCAGAATACTTAAAAGATACCATGACAATAGTGTGAAACGTGAATAAACTGATCATATTTCCTCTCACCAGACAGGGTTAAATAATTTTACGGGCAGGGTTATAAAAGCTTTGCTCCTCACAGGCCCTGCCAATCACTGGCAGGGTTATAAATAGTTTGTCGTTCACAAGTGAGGATACTCATATAACATACAACAACCATAATACCACGATAATTTTTAAGAGTAAGAGATATCATATAATTCTCCACATTATACAAATGATAAAAAATGCAGATGCTTCAAAGAGATGCTTGACGGCTCGACTCCTCAAAATCTTCATTTAGAAAATAACTCTTATAAATAACTTAACATTTCTTAGTAAAACAAAATACCAACTTAAAGAAATTTTCTTAGCTTAAGGCTCTTGACTTAGTGAAAATTATCATAATTTTTTAAACATTCTGTTTGTCCCATTTTTGTTGCGTTTTTCATGTTTATTTTATCTTTCTTTTTCCACCGTTTTAGGCTGTTTCTTTAGTTTTTAGTCCATTTCGTATTTTATTATGTGTTTTCCTTCATTTTGAGTCTTTAGGTGTTTTTCGTTTGTTTTTTCGGTTTTTTTTTTTT